CAAACTATATGGCCTGGCCTTAACAGCCATTGGAAGACTATCTTATTTGGGACTGATTCATTGCTGATGAACATCTACATGAACGCACATTAATCCTTGTCCTTTATGATATCACTATATTTAGCGCTGCATACCCAATTACTTGAATTTTGTTACTGAGGTGCTGAGGTATACCTTTTTATGCTAGCAGCTTCTTATCCAGTTTGCCTAACTTGTACTTAGTCGCGCTCATTCATCTTGTTTAATATATACAGTGGGGATCGAAAGTTTGGGCACCCCAGCTAAAAATTTGTATTAATGTGCATAAAGAAGCCAAGGAAAGATGGAAAAATCTCCAAAAGGCATCAAATTACAGATTAGACATTCTTATATGTCAACAAAAGTTAGATTTTATTTCCATCATTTACACTTTCAAAATAACAGAAAACAAAAAAATGGCGTCTGCAAAAGTTTGGGCACCCTGCAGAATTTATAGCATGCACTGCCCCCTTTGCAAAGCTGAGACCTGCCAGTGTCATTGATTTTTCTCAATCATCGTCTGGGAAGACCAGGTGATGTCAATCTCAAAGGTTTTAAATGCCCAGACTCATCTGACCTTGCCCCAACAATCAGCACCATGGGTTCTTCTAAGCAGTTGTCTAGAAAACTGAAACTGAAAATAGTTGACGCTCACAAAGCTGGAGAAGGGTACAAGAAGATAGCAAAGCGTTTTCAGATGTCAATATCCTCTGTTCGGAATGTAATTAAGAAATGGCAGTCATCAGGAACAGTGGAAGTTAAAGCAAGATCTGGAAGACCAAGAAAAATATCAGACAGAACAGCTCGCAGGATTGTGAGAAAAACAATTTAAAACCCACGTTTGACTGCACGATCCCTCCAGAAAGATCTGGCAGACACTGGAGTTGTGGTACACTATTCCACTATAAAGAGATACTTGTACAAATATGGTCTTCATGGAAGAGTCATCAGAAGAAAACCACTTCTACGTCCTCACCACAAAAATCATCGTTTGAACTTTGCAAATGAACATATAGACAAGCCTGATGCATTTTGGAAACAAGTTCTGTGGACCGATAAGGTTAAAATTGAACTTTTTGGCCGGAATGAGCAAAGGTACGTTTGGAGAAGAAGGGGCACAGAATTTAATGAAAAGAACCTCTGTCCAACTGTTAAGCATGGGGTTGGATCAATCGTGCTTTGGGGTTGTGTTGCAGCCAGTGGCACAGGGAACATCTCACGAGTAGAAGGAAAAATGGATTCAATAAAATTTCAGCAAATTTTGTATGGTAACTTGATGCCATCTGTGAAAAAGCTGAAGTTAAAGAGAGGATGGCTTCTACAAATGGATAATGATCCTAAACACACCTCGAAATCCACGGGGGATTACATCAAGAGGCGTAAACTGAAGGTTTTGCCATGGCTCCTTCACAATCTCCTGACCTCAACATAATTGAAAATCTATGGATAGACCTTAAAAGAGTAGTGCGTGACAGACAGCCCAGAAATCTCAAAGAACTGGAAGACTTTTGTAAGGACGAATGGGCAAAGATACCTCAAACAAGAATTGAAAGACTCTTGGCTGGCTACAAAAAGCGTTTACAAGCTGTGATACTTGCCAAAGGGGGCAGTACAAGATATTAACTCTGCAGGGTGCCCAAACTTTTGCAGACGCCATTTTTTTGTTTTCTGTTATTTTGAAAGTGTAAATGATGGAAATAAAATCTAACTTTTGTTGACATATTATAAGAATGTCTAATCTGTAATTTGATGCTTTTGGAGATTTTTCCATCTTTCCTTGGCTTCTTTATGCACATTAATACAAATTTTTAGCTGGGGTGCCCAAACTTCTGATCCCCACTGTATATATATAGAGTGCAACGCATAAAACATATAAGTGAAATAATGACATATCAAAAATTATAAATATATATCAGTGCAACCAATGTATTATTAAACCAAAGTGCTATCAAACAAAAAGTCCATTCCAGAATAAGTCTGTATATCAGTGTTGTGATGAAAATAGTAACAGCAAATCGTGTTCAGTTCCACACAATGCTTTGGAGTCCAGTGTGCAATCCACCACCATGTGCACTTACCAGAAGGCTACTTGTTAGGTAGCAAATATAACAAGAGATCTGTGTATTCCGCTCTGCGAGCCCTGTTGGTCCAGTTACATCCTAAAGAAAATGCTCACCATACAGAGCCTGAAGATCATGTATATAGTGTAGTATATATTAAAATTGATGCATAAAAACATTCCACGTGGAAGACAATAAAATGTTACATATGCCACATGCCAAGATGGTCGCTGTTCCAAAGCACGGACCCAGCGGCGTGACGTCAGCACGTAGGCTCCCCCCAACATGTTTCGTGCACACACACGTTCTCAGGGGTACTCCCATTCATATAATGGTATCAGTCAAATGATCAGGTAAACAGTGATGAGCAACTGGATGTATACTGAATGAATGCAGGACAAATTTTTAATACATATAGAATAGTAGGAAGGTATGCAATTGTGTTGAACAAAGAAAAGCAGACAATGAAGCTATCTCAGTAACAGGGATGTTTAGGAACAGAACTTGCACTCGAGCACTGGGTGGCAGCACAATACAGTATAAGGAGATATCGGAAAGGTTCACATGCAAGACAAATGCAGTGGCATGAATTAAAACAAGTATTTTTGCTGCTTCTTCACTGGAAATGGGGTTATAACAGCTCTCTCACTCGGAGGGTGACTGTAGCTGTTAGTTCAGGTGGAGGGTCGTAGGGATCCCCAGGCAGGCTTCACAAAGATAGGGCTAGAGGAGTCTTTGGACTGGAGCTCCGAGTGGCCCACTGGAAAGGCAGTATTCTACAGTCTCTGCATGCTCTTTCACTCGCTGGTGGCCCACATGCCAAATATCTCATTGGAAGTCCCAGTGACTGGTGATAGCCAACATGCCTTGTCACTGCTCTCCCATCAGGCATGAACTCCCTGAGCACCGGAGAGTAGGAAGAGGGCATATTCAGGAGTCCAGGAGGTAAGAGGAGCCCAGAAAATTGTGGGGAACTGAGTAAAATGAGTCCACCCCCCACTGAGGAAAGCATTCTGCTACACAGACAAACTGGGATAACACCTAATTTATATTTGTTGCAAGTTCCCATTCACATAGAATAACTTACTCTTCCCTTTTATGCAGGGGCGGACTGACAAGTCATGGGGCCCCCGGGCAATAGGGGATCATGGGGCCCCTGTTTCATTTCCCAAACTCAAAAAAGTCTATGAAAAAGGTACCAGGGAATCTCATGGGGCCCCCTACTGACCCCGGGCCCTTGGGCAGTGCCGAGTTTCCAAATGGTCAGTCTACCCCTGCTTTTATGTAATGTTAAGGAGGGGGCTGGGGGGTTATGCTTACAATAATTAACCCTGCCTCTACTGTGTGCTGTCAGATTTCATTGTCACTTGTACACTAGATGTGCACACTGTCTGTTCTAACAAAAGATGAACAGGAAAAAGATGGAGCGCCAAGTGATTAGCTTGAAAGTCCTTAAATCTTTATTCTTGACAATAGAGGGATAGCAAATATAGGGATCTGAACCCACAACCTCTGCTGCATCTGACTGCGATCTTCTTGCTTGCTTGAGATGCTGGGCAAATCATCTCCCTCCCTCAGGACTTGGACTTAGTAGTTAGAATTCCTATATAGTACAATTTTCTGGAAAGACATTTTAATCCAAAGTCAAGCAAACCCTGCCATCAACACAATTTTGCGCTATTCCACCATTGCATTTATTGGTCTCTGGACCAGGATCTCTTCCGAGAATATTTTAGTAGTTAGAATTCCTATTTGGATTAAGTCCAAGTCCTCGTGAAGGGGCATTTTCTGATCTCTGAAGCGCATTGGATACCATTCTTCTATTTACTGTCACCCTACTTTCAAGGATAAAGGTTAATAGACTCTTGAGCTTTTTGCTTGGCCCTCCATCCAAATTTCTCAAGCTGGTTGGCTCCCACCTTGTGGAAATTATCCACTACTTCATGCTTAAAACCAGCTCTGCAAACATTTATGTCCCCCGATCTGTGCCGCTGCGATGTGAGTCCCGTGCGCATGCGTGGGATGACTTTGTTGCGGGTCAGCCATTCAAGCGGCCGAAGACACAGAACCCTGTGAAAGTGGAAGCACCAGATCGATCACAGAGCAGTGTATGAATGAATGTAAGTTAGGGACTTTAGATTGTATACCCCTTGAGGGTTAGGGACTGATGTGAATGTACATATATATATATAAAGAGCTGCGTAAATTGACGGCGCTATATAAGTACCTGAAATAAATAATCAGTGTTTTTTGGTGAGGAGGGGGTTGGCTGGAAAACAAACCCAGAACTAGTGGGTTTCTAGAGGAGTTTTTTAGCTTTAAAAAGGCTCTAATGCTGGTAAACACAGAAAAACACATTAAAACACATTAAAACACAGTAAAACACGACAAACTGGCGTTTTGGCGTTTTTTTTGTAGCAAAAATGTTATAAATTTTTTGTGTAAAAAAGGCTAAAAACGCAAGCGTGACTGAACGCGGCTAAACACTAATGTAAAAACCGCTAAAAGATGCGGAAAAACTCGCGTTTTTAATGTGACTTTATACAGCTAACGCTACCGGTGTTTTTTAAAACGCCCATTGTGCATGAGGACTTGAGCGTGAATAGGGAACAGTTAACAAACCTATAGTGGGGGAAGGGGGGATCTCAAATTTGGTGGAAATGGTGGAAATTGATTTTCTAGTTAGAGGCAGGAGAGGTTTATTAACAGTGTCAAAGCTCTCATTGCGTTCACATGATCAGGGACAGCTCAGTCTGACAGCTAGCAGCACCCAACTGTGCTCACTGCCAGCTATGATACCTGGGGGCTGCAGCTTGGAAATCCATAAACCATAATTTCCCTCTACCACCCCCCACCCCACCTCTAACCTTTTCCCATACCTCCCAACTTTTTGAAATGGGAACAGGGGCGGACTAACAACTCATGGGGCCCCCGGGCAATAGGGGATCATGGGGCCCCTGTGTCCTTGCCTAAACTCAAAAAAGCCTATAAAAAAGGTACCAGGGGCATCTCATGGGGCCCCCTACTGACCTCGGGCCCTCGGGCAGTGCCCGAGTTTCCAAATGGTCAGTCCACCCCTGGATGGGAACAAGGGACACCTATTAGCAAAAGTATGTAGGCATAGGCCACACCCCCTGCCACGCCCCCTTAAAGGAGAATTATAAAATAAAATGATTAGTTAAACTCAATAGTGCTTTTTTACCACTACTATTCCTTTATACTGACTTTTGAAATGCAGCAATTTAGAAACTGGATGTAAGGTTTGGCACTGGCAAACACTTTTTGACAGATAAAAAGTGCATTTTATACACAACTATGTAGATCAGATCAAAAGGAGGGACAAATGAGCAGGAAAGAGTGACAGAGGGACTTTCTTCCAAATTAGGGACAGTCCCTCGAAATCAGGGACAGTTGGGAGCTATGCTTTTCCTGCCATCTGATCCACCTCCAGAGTCCTTAAATTGTGCAGATGTTGACATTCTGAAAGTCAAAACTTGCACAGAGTTAAGCAACCGCACCCCCACTGCCCCCTACCCCTATGCAACGGCATTCAGGCCTGGTGAGTGGCACAGCCACCTATAGCAATGCAGGAGACAACTGGGAGACACTGATCATCCCATATCAGGAAGGACCTTCATGGTAGGAGCACAATGGAATATTTTAATGACATCACAGAGGACAAGGGGGCACTCTTTATGTCTGGAGGAAAAGAAATTTAATCTCCTAATATGGAAAGGTTTCTTCACAGTAAGAGCTGTGAAAATGTGCAATAGACTCCCTCAAGAGTTGGTTCTGGCCAGCTCAGTGGATTGCTTTAAAAAAGACCCGGATTCTGTCTTAGATACACAGAACAAAACTGGATACTAACATTTATAGGTAAAGTTGATCCAGGGAATATCCAATTGCCTCTCGGGGGATCAGGAAGGATTTTTTTCCCCTGCAGGAGCAAATTGGATCATGCCTTGCTGGGTTTTTTTTTTTTGCGTTCCTCTGGATCAACTGTGTGTGTAGGATTATAACTTTTGTCTTTTTTCAGCCAGACTATGCAACCATGTAAACTGCAGATTAACAAAGATTTAAAGAAAAACTCCAGGATAGGCAAAAAAACAAAAACAAAAATCGCCCATTCATACAACCCCTACACAAAACACTAAACAGTTAATACAATTTGGAAAATTCTTACCATTTAGGAGAAAAGTCTAACTGAATTTTTAGGAAGTCATTTCTGTCACTCAAAAGATAACAGCATTTGATCTACCAAGGAGGAGGTGTAGTAGCAGGGATGACATCATATCCTCTCCACTCTCTCTGCAGTAAAAGGAAACTACAGTTCCCATAAACCACAGGGAATTGTAATGAATGTGGATGGGTACACTAGGGATGTCCAAGTTGAATTGTCTGAAAGTCTCGGTCCGCCTACACTGCAAGTGGGGCTGAATTACATCACTGCTTCATGGAGAAAGAAATACAGAAGGAATGTGCCAAGACCAGTGGCTGGGGGAAAAGAAGGCATAGCAGCCACCGGTCTTACAAACAGGAAAGAGAATTAACGGTTTGAGTTGAAAATAAATAGGTTATTTCTGAGCAACTACTGAGTGAACCAGAAGATGGATGTCATATTCAGAAGGTAAGAAATTGTCAACAAGGACACGTAAAGAAGTTTTTGCCCGGAGTTCTGCTTTAAAACAACTTGTGAAATTACATTAAAAACCCAATCACACAGGGTATGTCTGGTCCGCTCAGCAGTGGATCCCAGGACAGATCCTTCTGAAGCTCTCCTTTGGAGCTAACCAGTACTTTTGTGATATCCATGCCCATTCAGCTCTTCCCTGACAGAGTCTAAAGGCTCCAAAATAGCCACTGTTGGTATCAGTGAGAGGATTAGTGTCCTATTATTGGTGTCAGTGGGAGGAATAGTACCCCATTGTTGGTATCAGTAGGAGGAACAGTGCTCCATTATTGGTGTCAGTGGGAGGAATAGTACCCCATTGTTGGTATCAGTGGGAGGAATAGTACCCCATTGTTGGTATCAGTGGGAGGAACTGTGCTCCATTATTGTTGTTATCAGTGAGAAGATTAGTGTCCCATTATTGGTGTCAGTGGGAGGAATAGTACTCAAGGGCCAGATAAAGGCAGGCAAAAGGGTGCATCTGGCCCCCAGGCTGCAGTTTGAGGACCACTGTTCTAGAAAGATCCCAGCCCATTGGACCAACATAACTATGTAAAAATATCCATGTCTGAAATTCTTCTTTAGTTTTGATTTCCAGCTTCTAGAGCAGGGGGGACTCCAAACTTTGTAAATGAAGGGCTAGTTTACTGTTCTTCAGGTTTCAGGGGTGCAAGACTGTGGCCAGTGGAAATAGAAAATGCCCGGGCATCAGTGAAAGTGAACAATTCCCCCCAATGTTTTAGTGCAAGGAATAGTACCCAATTGTTGGTATCAGTGGGAGGAATAGTAAATCATCATTGGTATCAGTGGGAGGAATGGTTCCCCATCGTTGGTATCAGTGGGAGGAATAGTGCCCCATCATTGTTGTCAGTGGAAGGATTAGTGCCCCATTGTTGGTATCAGTGGGAGGAATAGTTCCCCATCACTGTATTAGTGGGAGGAATAGTACCCCATTGTTGGTATCAGTGGGAGGAATAGTTCCCCATCATTGGTATCAGTGGTAGGAATAGTAAATCATCATTGGTATCAGTGGGAGGAATAGTTCCCCATCATTGGTATCAGTGGTAGGAATAGTAAATCATCATTGGTATCAGTGGGAGGAATAGTACCCCATTGTTGGTATCAGTGGGAGGAATAGTAAATTATCATTGGTATCAGTGGGAGGAATAGTAAATCATCATTGGTGTCAGTGGGAGGAATAGAATCATTGGCAGGGCTCAAAATTTCAGATCTACTAGCCAGGCCTTAAGAGTTACTGACCATTAGTTGCCCCACCCAAAACCTACCCTGCCCCACCCCTAATTCCACCCCTAAACATGCCCTCGTAAATTATCTCATGAAATGACTGTTAAATGTTTTATGCAGAATAAAGTTACAAAACTAAATATTAACAACAATGTTAACAATATTAACATAAAGCAATGTAAACATCTAAACATCTCCATCCCATGTCCTCCTCCTCTTCCAGTCCCATCTCACCCATCCTATGTCCTCCTCCTTCTCTAGTCCAATCTCCCCCATCCTATGCTCTCCTCTTCTAGTCCCATCTAACCCCATCCCATGTCTTCCTCCAGTCCCATCTCCTCCATCCCATGTCCTCCTCCAGTTCCATCTGCTCCATCCCATGTCCTCCTCCTGTCCCATCTCCTCCATCCCAAGTTCTCCTCCTCTGTCCCATGCCCTCCTCTAGTCCCCCACTGACAGATCCCACCCCTCAATTACCACCCCCTCCCCCTACTGACAGACCCCTCACAGCCTCACTGATAGTGGTACAGGGCACACAGCAGGGTACAGGAAACACAGCAGGGCATGGGGCACACAGCAGGGTACACAGTGGGGCACATAGCAGGGTACAGGGTACACAGCAGGGCAAGGGGCAAACAACAGGGTACAAAATACACAGTGGGGCACACAGCAGGATACAGGGCATGCAGGGTACACAGCGGGGCACACAGCAAGGTACAAGGTACACAACTGGTTATGGCACACACAGCAGGGCACGGAATACACAGCAGGGAATGGGTAGCACAGCAGGGTACGGGGCACATAGCAGGGTACAGGGCACAGGGTACAGGGCATGTAAAAATCATAAATCACTACAATAAAGTATTTCATAGTCACAACTCTACCCCCCAGAAAACAAAATACATTCACAATTATTGATCAGTGGACAGTACTCAATCAGATAATATAATGCTCTGCAGACCATACCCTAGTACAGGGGTGGCGAACACGCGGCTCTCGAGCCGCATGCGGCTCCTGGCCAAAATGAATGCGGCTCTTTGCTCTTACTTCTTTGATCTTACCTGTTCCTCGATCCAGCCGCGCACTGTCTTCCTGGCTTCTGTAATGGCGCTCGGCATGACAGCCGGGTGCCAAGTGCGCATGCACAAGAAGCGGTGCTTTTTGTGAATGGTAAGGCGGTACCTGGGACACATGACAGATCCCAGAAGCCGCCGGACCAATCACAAAGCGCAAGTGCTTCTCGCTCATGCGCACTGGGCACCTGGCTGTCATGCCGAGCACCATTACAGAAGCCGGGAAGACAGCGCGCGGCTGGGTCGAGGAACAGGTAAGATCAAACAAAAACTCTGCGGAAGTAAGAGCGGGTACCTGTCAAATTCAGGTACCCGCTCCCCACCTCCCCAAAGGTCAGCAGTCATCTGTACTGTCCGCAGTCATCCCCTCTGGTCATCCCTGTCCTGTCCGCAGTCTCTGGTCATCCCTGTGCTGTCCGCAGTCTCTGGTCATCCCTGTGCTGTCCGCAGTCTCTGGTCATCCCTGTGTTTTGCAAGGGGAAGAAAGTGTTATGGTGAATAATATGGTTTTAATTATGTGTTTTTGTGTGAGTGTTTGTCTGTTTTGGCAGGTCACTGCGTGGTGTGGCTCTCTGACTTTCACAGTTTAAAATTTTGGCTCTTTGTGTCTAACTTGTTCGCCACCCCTGCCCTAGTATCTCACCTTGCTGACAATGGCTAGACTGGCGCCCCCCCTCCCACCAAGAGCACAGTGATGTGGAGGGTGAGTGTAGTAGAATTCCCAGAAGAAGCCTGCCTTTTTTTTCAGTGCCTGTTCATTCGGGCCAGCTGCACCCCGTTCTCTGGGTCCAGGGGATCCGATCAGCTGGAGGAGGCACCACTATGAGATAGGAAGGAAGAAACCACAAGGAAAGCTGCATGGGAGGCGGCGAGCCAGGGTCTCCTGAGCCGGGGGTGGAGGCAGATCAGTGTCAAGCAGGAATTCCCTCAAACAGCCGAAGTCTGGGAGAAACACGGGCTGCTCCGTGCACCCCAAAATCAACTCCTCCTCCAGATAAGAGCTGTGCAGTACCCCAGTCCATCAGTCATGAGGAGGCG